CATTGTATTGCAGCTAGAAACGGTGTTTACCCAGGGTTCCTCACAATTCTGAACAGAGATCACATCACATGACTGGCAAAGGACATGTAGCAATACAAAGTTAGAAGGTTCCCAAATAGTTAGCCAAAAAGTTCATCATACTTAAGATAACATAGTTAAGTTGAACTAACTACCAGCCCATTACACCCCAAGTTCCACGGTATATTTCATTCTAAACTGTTTTTTCGGCTAAGATGGGCAGATGGGTTTCAAACATCTGATTTACAGTATGATCCCTGAAGTCAATCTCAACAGATCTGGACTGATCCGTCAGGTTTGTTAGGAAAAAAACATTTAGAAAAACAACAGAAAAGTTGTGTCAGAGTACCTGTCTTTTCCTAAATGCACTGTGCATGTGTCTGTGCGTGTACATAAGAGTGTAGAAACCAAAGATGCTAAGCCAGCTACAAGTGTGTCTGACATCTCTTCACCTCATGTTGTGGTTCCCAGCCAAAAGATGCTGACTGAATCGCTGGCAGGGCTAAAACTCAGAGGATCACCCCTGTCAGTTTGTGTATGAATGTGTGTGTGTGCGTGCCTGGCATTACTCACATTGTGGGGACCTTCCTTGTGGGGACTAGATAACTCGGTTTAAGGTTAGGGTGAGGTTAAGTGTTAGGGTTTGGCAAGTAGTGGTTATGGTTGAGTTTAGGGTCAAGTCTCCTGGGAATGAATTTCAATCAATGTAAAGTCCCCACGAGGAATGAACACAATTGTGTGTGTGAGGGAGAGTTTAAATAATCAGGTCAGCTGTCTGAATGAAGTGCTGAGGTCATGACAGCCCTGTCACAGCAGTCTGAAGGAAGGTACATGACCTGTCACAGTGACAATCTTTATGGAGAGAGCAAGATGAGTCAGGCCGTAGGGGCGTGAGACCATAAAAAGGGTGACATGCTGCTTCTGCCAAGTTAACTGGCCAGCTGCTGTAAACACAGTCATAAACATTCTATGTTAAACTGCTACAGTAAACAGTGACGTCACTGAGCTTGTGTGCATGTATTTGTGCGCGTGTGGTGAGGTTCCCTTCGTTTCATGCTAGCTCCAGTCAGCTGTGCAAGGTGTATTAATCTACAGTGTGGCATCACTGACATTCACTGGAAAATTCTTTTTAAACCTTAATAAGATAATCTCTGATTTAATATCAAATAAGCCTTCCCGCATTTGTCGAGGATTTATATTAAAAACCAAATGGCTCATAATTCATCTGCTTTTCCCCACCGTTCTGTGTTTTATACCCCTTTTAATATTACGAGGCAGCATTTATAAAAGTCATTGCAAACTGAAAGTGGCATTTGTGAATGTCACTTCATGCACCTGCACACATGTGCCTGCAGAGGGCGGTCTGCAGTCTGGGGTCAGTGCCGCTGACTGTCGTTTATTTCTTGGTGTGCCTATGAACGCTGTCCTGAACGGCAACAAAACTGTAGATGTGCGTCTGTTTGCACCAGTAAAATTGGGAAAAGGTCAGGAAATAAAGCAGCTTTCTGAGGTAGCCAAAAAATAAACGGCAGTCAGTGGCATGGGGATCACACTGTGTGATCCCAAATGGAACAACTCTAATAAAGTGAAGTTGAAATAACCAGCTGAAATTCACCAAACAAATGTTTGCAGAGGTTTTTCATTATCTTTGAGTGCAGAAAAAATGTCATTAAATATGAAACCTTTTTACTTACTTTGAAAAAAAGTTTGGAGCACTGTGAATTTCACCAATAGGGGCATAATAATTGTGTCAAGCTTCTCAAGATTATACAAGGAAAACTTTAATTAACTGTGCAGTTGAGTGCAGATGATTGTAAAGAGTATGTCTTTCAAAGTAAAACATATTCAAATTCAGCTTTTTTTCCAGCTGCTTCTGAATTAAACAATGCAACTGCCTACGTTTTCTGTCAGTAATATAAAACACTTGTTTTCTACTCCCAGCCTCTCTGGTTCATTTACAAAAACCTAAGATAAGAGTGTTTTATCTACCCTTTTTCTTCTCCGTTTAAGAAAGTTTGGCTAAAGTGAACACCAACAGTTGTTTCACTTTATCTTTTATTTAATCTGTTTAATTATTCATCTATTAAAGTATAATTTTAATACATTTGTTTGTTTTAAATGCAATTGTACTTGTAGACAGTATGTGCATAAACATGTTTGTGTATACATATGCAGAAATACTGTTTTACACACTGTAAATTTACCAACACACTAAATACAAACATAAAAAAGATTTCAAAACAGCAATTATAAAGTAACATCTATGTAAGACTGCATGTGGCCTGTTAAGAGTGGAAGATATTCTATTCATTAATCACCCATCTTTGTGTTCCTGCCTAACTCTATTAATCCACTGACATCTCTATCCTTTTACAGACACTGGTAATCAAATGCATTCATTTTTCACTCCTAATTTGAGTATAAATGTGAATTTTTAACTTGTTCTCAGCCATCACTATTACATTTAGAGCTGCAAATATGCCAACATTGTTCTTACTGTGATTGACATTCTATGCCTCTGCACCATTTCACCTCAGCTTTCCATCTTTCCTCGTCTCCCTCCGCTCCTCTATTAGCCCTGACGCTGTCAGCCCTTTCCTTCCTCACTCCATTCACTCTCTAATAGGTCTGGCATTCTCAGCCTCATCCTCCCTCCTTCCCATCCCTCCTTACTGTCTCCATCCTACTGTCCTCTCCTCTAATACAGTTGACATTCTTTACCTTCTGCTCCCTCCATCTCTCCTGGGTGACTTAAACTGAAGTGCAGCCTGGAGGGCCCTTTAGTGGGTAGCAGAATTATAGCGCTCAGGGCCACGACCACAGGTTAAGTGCAACAAGAACAGAGGAAAAGTGACAAGAGGACAGAGTTCTACCTGAGTGCACGAAGGAGGTGGTAGGTTTATGTAAGACAGACTGCAAACCATTAGGTAACAATCTGACACAAGTTATTATGCAGCAAACAAAGAACACCAACTTCTTTCTAGCTATTATACTGTGTAGTGTACATAAGCAATACATCTCTAGGAATGATATTACGTACAGGAGCTGAAACTGACCCCTGACCTGTGCTTGGAATCTGAAATACCTGCAGGAATAAATCTGGTATAATTAATCATCTTTACTTACTGTAATAGAGCATAGACTGACAGTGAAAAGAAAAGGGGGAGGGTGATTGGCATGTCACTGAATCAAGGATATTACATCTTAAAACCTGGGCCTCCAGCATGCAAAATATATCAAGCTGGCTATGCTCCTTAAACGAAAAGCAGCGCACTGGGAACAATGTTTATATTTTACCTTCAGCAACATTACCTGGGAGAACTTGCACTAGCTGACAAACAAGACAGCATCAGCATCTGCACTTTAAATAAACAGTAACTTCAACACAACCTTCCACAGCACTGTCATATATTCTAGAGCCAAGACTGTGAATATACATCTCAATTACACTGAATTCAGCAAAATAAAAGTATAGAAAGATATAAAAGATGTAAAAGACTTTCACAGTGCTTTCCATAAACTATTTTGGAATGACAGAAAATGCAAACTGCCCAACTATTCTGTCATTTT